GGCACGCGCACGCCAAGAGACCGGCAAATGAGCGGCGTTCGTTAAATTTTAATGAAGTCCCTGCACGTCGAAGCTGAATTGTTTGCCGGTTACAGGTAAATCGGATTTCGACGTGGAGTTCGGCGTAATACTGTTGGAAATAATTAGAGGATCCAGAAATTGTGTGTAATAATTTTTTTTCTTTTTTTTTTCTTTTTCTATTTTTTTTCTTTTTCTCTTTTTTTTTTTCTTTTTTCCTTTTTTCCTTTTTTTCCTCTTGCCCCCCAATGGAGTGGTGGAATAGAAGGTAAGAAGTACGGGAGATTTTTGCCGGCGGCGTGTTTGCAACTGTTGACGTGAAATTGTATACGTCTTTTCAAGGGGTTGATGCTGGTAACCAGTGACGGTGAAATTACACCATTTTGTTGTTGGAAAGCAGAAAGATGTAAGGATACTGTGTATGGAACTGCAAACGAACTCGACGTTGGTAATTTAATCCCGGTTCTAAAATAGGATATGTCGGGATGGTGGAAATAAGAGTTGAAATTTCGAATAACGCGCTTTCGATTCGCGTTTCATTTTTGAAATGAAATGAACGGGAAGAAATTTGTTGGGGAGAATATCCGTTTTATTAATCGATAAAAAATGAGATCGAATTAGCGATGATCGATTATAAGATTTCTAAATTTTTAATAGATAGAAATATCGTGAGATGGGGTTAGATTGATTTTTGACGAAAAATTATTTTCGATTACTGTTTAAATAATAATATTTCGCGGGAAGAGGACAGAAATAGGGGTGGTTCTAATTATTTTGATTAATGTACTTTGCAAATCATCTTTCCCCGCTGGTGAGTTTAATTGTAGCATGAAATACAAATTCATTACATTAATGAATATTAATCTGACAGAAAATATATAAAGCTGCGCGTTGGATCGATTGTCACGAAATATATATTCCATTCCCCGCGTTCAGTGTATGCAAAGTTTAATATCCAATATTATCGCGTGTTGCAAAATATTTCCTATTTAATATAACGTCGCAGTTGTACTTTCAAACTTGTTACTGCGAAATAGATAAACAGATTTGTTAGATAATTCATTTATATCGTTATTATATCCATTTCGGATATCTTTATCCGTCGAATTTCTCTCTCCATCAAAAATTTATATATAAAGATGGAAATATTTCAACCATTTTTTTTTTCAACATATCCAAAAACAAGTAATATTCCAATAATGATAAGAAAATTCACGTAGAACGTTCGGTATCAATAATCAACGCAGTGACGATCAAAATTTAAACTCTCGATCGATCAAATACCGGATACCGCAATTATAATGAAATTCTTATTTTTGTCACTCGCGTGAATCATTAACGATGGAAAAACGGTGCATAAACGGCGGGCAAAGGCGATTTACGCAGACCAAGGTATCCTAACATCGATATCCCTGGCAACCATCGAGGATTCTCTAACGGATCATCGTATTTAATGAAAAGCCGCGTACAAACGTGCGAACCACCGACCGCTCGTAATCAAACGATTTCCGTTGAAACACGAAACGCGTAAATTAATCACTGCGAACACGGGATGCGTTGGTTGCACCGTTCTCGTTTGCAAAAATAAAAAAGAAAAAAAAAATATCCGGGTTTTTCGCCAAACGATTTTTCTTTTTTTTCCAAAGGACAAGTATATAAACTGTACTTTAAAATTTGGTTAACTTGGATCTTCTTATTTTTATATATATCTACAAGTATTTAAAATTTCCCTTTTTTCAATAAAATATTGAAAACTATATTGAAAGTATTATTACAATAAAAATTTAGGGAATGAATCGATCTAAAAATAAAATTCCCGATCAAAAGTTATTTTTCATTTTTCATACGTTGTCGAAACGTTGTGTAACTTTAATACACAAGTGATCATAAGCAAAAGAATAATAAGCCGAGAACAATTCTTGATAATTCTAAATATATATATATCCTTGAAATTTTCCTTTATAATCAGATAATGTGATCGTGCTATTAACGTAAAACGATAATTATCGATACATATATCGAGGCTGGTTCAGGTATTGTTGTACCGTTGCCCGACCTTAAGACGAGCTTAAAGATGAACGAAGGGGGAGAGGAGTGAAGAGGAGGGTGGAGAAAAGAACGCCTGGTAACGAGCCACCATTTAGTCTTGATGGCCGCATTAGTCGCGTTTTCAATGGAGCAACGGCTTGTGCTTCGTTGTTTTGCCATAACCATTGTTCCTTTTCGGCCCTGTCTCTTTTCCAACGAAAGCGAGAGGAGGAGGCGTCCACGGCGCGGTGGTGGAAGACGGAGCCCCGTGTTTCGAAAGGAAAGCGGGTATACCCTTTCAGGCGTAACATCGGCGGCGTATTAGCACCAGGAACGCAAATAATTGCACGGTGCAGTGTGTACAGGGTGGCGAAAGCTTCCTGGAATGTAAATAGAGCCGACTCGCGAGTGGCCGAAACCGAGGCTTTCCCCCGCTCGCCCCGACGTATTGACCTCTCCTCCTGCTTCGTGTACCTACGTTTTCGCACGTGTGCGGACATTTGTGCGTGTGAGGATCGAGGCAGGGGGAAAGGTTAGCATCCCCCTTCCCTGGTTTTGCCCGCCATTCGTAAAACGATCCTTCTGTGAAGAGTTTCTCCTGAATCAACCGAATCCCGGTTACCGTTTGACTCTCATTAATTCCACGCTACAATTCCTAAAAGGAGAACGAAATTTTCTCCATTTGATAGAATCTAACATTTTCTTAATTATCGATTGAAATTTTTATCCGAGAAGAGGAAGGGTCAGGGAGAGATTCGAGTTTCGAGTTTCTATTTTAAACGAATTTAGGATTATTTTATTTGCAACGATCACGTGACGAATAAAAAAAAGAAGCAAAGTCCCAAAGCATTCGTTTCCACGAAATTAATCGCAATTATTCAATCGAATCAACGTCATCACAAGAAATTCGCGGATACGGTGGCGATTCCGCGAGGAGCAAGGAAAGGAACCGGAAGCGGCGTGTAAACGCGAGCAAGGAGGAAGGTTCGGCAGAAGGGCAATAAAGTATCGCATCTGGTGTGGTGTGCGACGCGATTAATCGCCTCTCAGCCGCAAGAATTAATTGCGGACGCGGCGATAATTTATCGCGCGCTCGCCTCCCCGAGATATTTCACCAGCGTTGGATACTTTTCGTGGTTTCGCGCGAGATAACCCGTGATAACCTTTTCTCTCTCTCTCTCTCTCTCTCTCTTTCTTCTTCTCTCGCAATGAAAATCTGGAAATGACGGCGAATTCGGTGTCTGAAGGTAGCTGTTTCGAGAGAAACGCATCGGGATGAAAAGGCGAGGGAGGAAGAGAGTGTTCGCACGATGGGCGCCGTGACCTTATCATCTCGAGGTTTAACCTTGGCACGAGGTTACTTGGATGAAGGAGATAAGAGGGCGCGAGCGGAAAGGGTATTTATGTGTACACGATGTCTCTATTCCCGAGGAACGCGGAACCTAATCTGCGGTTTATGCCGCTTGATTTGCGGTTTGGATTTGGTTAATGTGGGAAAATTGATTAGGAGGATTGATAATCTTGCGAAACGGCGTTCGAGACGATGAATGGGTAAGTTCGTAATACTGTTTCGAGCGGTGGGAAAATTTGTGGATGCCCTCTGAATATCGTTAAATTTCGCGTACAATGATTCGTTTTCAATATTTTTAAGAATGGTAAATTTTCTTTTTCGAGTGTTCGATTCGCCAATATTCGAAGAGATATGTATTTAGGATTACTATTCGGAATTTAGATTCGTGATGGATTAACTGTTGGAAATTTACGAAACTGTAATGAGCTTACCAAGTGCTTAAAGGATTGAAGATAATAACCGATATATGAAATATATTCGTGTTCATAAATTATCGAAGTTATTTTTACTTTAAATTCGTTAAGAAAAATTCCTCGAACTTTATCCTTAAATTATCTAACGTTAATTTTAATGAATCAAAGTTGGCGACAGAGAGACGTGACTCTTTTCCAGCTTTCGCGATTTTCAGTTTATATGTATACTCATTTACTTCTCGATTTAGATATTCATGAGTGGGAAGGAAGGCTTTGGATCTTAATTAAAACTTGGTAAACTCGAAGTTTCTTGCCGGTTTTTAATAGCCGTTGACATGTCGGCAACTCGGAAGAGTGGCGATATCCAAACAAAAACTTTGAAAATCGATAATCGATATCATCGACGAAAGGGTTTATTTTCATCGTCCCTTGCTAAAACGCTCTAATATAAAAGTAAAACTGATGATATTTGCGCGAACTGCGAGAGTTTGTTTAAATATGCACGAGCATAGCTGATACAAATTTTAAATATTCACGTTGCGTAACGTTGCACATCCAACCATCCTGCATGCACGTGAATTAATTCAAATTTAAAATAAGAAACGCGTGTCGCAACGAGCATCATTACTCGCGTTATTTGTCGCGTGTAAACAGTGCGCATTACCGTTAATAGCTGTACACCGGTTTCATCGTTCACCAGAACGGTATAACAATATTCTGTAATTATTATTAATATACCTGTTCCATGGTGGAAAGATTCACAGACAAGTTGATTAATCGAAAACTGTATAAACAGTATCGTTAAATCTCAAATTATAACGAATTGTCATGTGCAATAACGTTGCACCAACATTCAAACTTTCAACATCTGAATATAGTACAATGTCCAATAATTTCGGATACATCCAAATTCAAATATTTCGAAATTTCAATATCTCAATATTCTTTTTAGATATTTAGAAAATTTAGAATTGAAAATTATCGAACATCTCCAAATCTCCAAATATTCTCGAGTTGCGTCCAATTTTCATATATTCCCTTCCCAAATTCGTTCGTACACATCTCCCCGTAAAAGTCTGCCCGGAATCCGATAGTTCGTAAGCGGTTGAAATTCTCTCAATTTTCACCCGGACGATCTGAACCGAACTACCCGACTAACCGACGATTTCGTTTTCCCCGTTTGATTACAGAAACTGCAAACGATCGGCGAGGATTTCTGCGGTCTGGACGTGAACACGCCTCTTGGGGGCGAGGACCCGATGGAGGGGACTCCCGTGCTCACTTTCGATACGCATTTGACGGCTGTTGCCGCCACCTCGACCGGGGACTACACGGTCGTCTTCGTGGGCACGAACGAGGGTCATCTGAAGAAGGTGAGTGCACGATACTCTTTATCTCCTCCGATCGAAGAAGAGCAAGAGGCTCGAATTCTCTCTCTCTCTCTCTCTCTCTTTCATTAACCCAACCTTGTATCCTCTCCGCTCGTTGCGTATTCTCTAATTTTTAACATTTTCGCATTTCTTTTTTCTTCTTTCTTTCTCTCTCTGTCTTGCTCGGGTACATGTGCGTTCTATTTTTCCCTCGAAGCTTGATATTCCTGGCACGAATGGCTCGTTTTGTAAATACTTTTTCAATGCGGAGAGTCGCTATTATTATGGCATGAATATGGATATGAGAAATATTTTTCTTGTAAATGATGGAAGATTTATTTATTTATTTATTTCGTTAGATAATTTTTTTTCTTGTCTTCTAAATTCATCCTTTCGTAAAGAAAACACCAGATTTAGTAGAAACGCTGAAAGCACACGTGACACAACAATCTTCCCAACCTGCATGCGCACAAAAATACGAAAGAATACGTGAAAATTAAATTTCAAATATCCAAATAGAGAGACTCAGACTGAACCTCAACCGAAATATCCTTAACAAGCCGATCAGCTTCGGAATGGAAGCAACCGAGGCAACGAAATAACCGTAATCGCGGAAGGGACCCCTCTCCCCATTCCATTTCCAGGGTCTCTCTTCCTCTCTTCCTCTCTCTCTCTCTCTTTCTCTCTCTCTCTCTTTCTCTCTTTCTCTTGCCTCTTGCTCTCTTTCGGCGCAATAATTAATCCGGAATTCGCCGGCTGCGGCGAAAGTAATCACAATAGATATTAATGCGAACGACAGAATCGGGGTTACAGCGAAATCCGCTTTCTGCTATCCGCGTTCCATTAGCCCCGGCTCGAAGGTAGCCATTACGGAATATCGTTGGCCGCGAAGCGTTAACGCTTAACGAACCTAATGGAGTTCCCGTGGACCGTCTCGCGAACTTCGACAGAGCGGCGAAACTCTATCGAGGGCGCCCCATCGAACGATCGTGGAAATTACGCGCCTCTCGCCCGAGCAACTTCCCTCCCGATCGTCGTCCAAACGCGTCGTCCACGCGCGTTCCATCGTCGTCGAGAATTAATATCGCGCGATTAATCGAGCGATCGAACACGCGCGAGTAATTGGCGCGATGGAGCGTGGGAGAAGAAAGGGGAAGGAGGGGGGAAATTCGTTTGGAAACGGACACGAGGGGGAGGGAAATGTCGCGGGGACGATCATGGAAAAATAAATATATAGGAAGAGTTGGTGTTGATCGTTATCGTGGATGCGGTTTCCAGGAATATCTAGCCCTCTCTAATCTGTCGTGATTAATCACGATTATCCTTGCTAAATCCTCTCCGATTTCTTCCGGTTCTCTAACTCCCTCCAAAAGCGTCTCTGGCTGCTTTATTTCGTTACACGATTCTTGTGATTCGGTGGTTGATAAGGAAGGAAGGAAGGAAGGAGGAGGATTTTGCGAGAGGAAAAAATGCTTTAGGGATATTCATTTTGAATATATAGATATTTATTTTTAGAACGCACATTCTAAACACATCTTCGACGCAAATAAAAGTGCATACATTCGAAGCAATGGTTTATTCAAATCGTTCGCGGATGGCCTAGTTATGCGAATATTCCTTTGCGACGAATTAAATAAAGCGTATCTACATCTATTCTGGAAGATAAACAATAGATTGGATAGATTAGAATTTTCTAGTTTATCATCGTAACAAAAAATCTTATCAGGATCAACGGATTACTTTCGAAATACTCGTTCAAGATCAATCGAATTAATTAGAAATAGTTACACGACGAATAGTTAAATAACGAACGAGTTTTTGATTAAGTCGACTCGAACGAGAGATCATCGTTTAATCATTCCCAACGAAAGGCGAAACAAGATCCATCTTATAAATCTCGATGATCTCACGTGATCTCCTCCTTACCTTTAATGACAAGGCTATAGTCACCTCTTAGTGGCGTAAAGGTTAATCACGTTCGCCGGGGCTGAATTCTCGATGATTTGTTCCGCAATCTCGCTTCAGAAGTTGGCCCCTTGTCCTAGGCGCAAGGTGATTCGAAACGGCACGGATGAAGAAGAAACGCTGTTGCAACGATCGTGAGATTATGGATCTGGCGTTACCTCTCCCAGCTATCGTTCCACCACGTTGAATTTCTAGGAAAATCACGACGTGGATTTCTTCCAATTAATCACAATTACCGGGCCGAAGCCTTCTTCAATTTGTTCTGCAATCTCCTCGTGCTGAACGGTCGATGATCAAGCCCCCTGTCTCTCTTTCTCTCTTTGAGTTTACGCTGGAAGATATTATGATAACCAAGCTCTGGGTTTCGTGCTCCTCTCCGCGTTTGTTTCCATCGAACGTTTAAAGAATAGATTCCACGTTCAAGTCGTCGTTAATTCAGAATTTTCGTTTTAAATTTTGCCCCGTCGTAATTACGAAATCCTCTGAAATTATCCGGCGTTTAAATAATCGAACGCGCAAATTAACCACCCCAATAACCTATTCTATTATGTAAAACCGGATTATTAACCACCGTCGGTGTTGATACGTCGTGTATCAAGACGTCTAATAATATAAGAAGAAGAAAAAAAAGAAGAAGAAAAGCTGTAAAGAAACGTGTTAAAAAAATAATCACCCGACGTCGACATCGATTAACATAAAAAACAACGACGAGTTTCGCCACGAGCCGATAAACAAAACTCTCCTCCGATAATCG